AAAAAAAAAAAAAAAAAAAAAAAAATTGGCACTTGGTTCATATTCAGTTGAGGAGTTTAAGTCTTTCCTGTGTCTAAATAAGTCTTTCCTGCATCTAAGTGTTGCCTCCTCACAAAATTCACAAATTTCTGGAGGGTGGCCCAGAATAGTGCTTGACACATAGTCCAGGCTCCAAAAATACTTGAGTTGAATGAACGCTCCCCGACGGCTGCCCCACCCGGAGCCCATGTGTCTTTACAGTGTGTTCTACTCACCTTGAGAAGCTTCTCTTGCATCTCAAGGGCTTTTGCTTCTCTCTGCTCTATCCAGCGGGAAAGAGTACGCAGGGCAGCAGCCCGTGTTGGAATTTGAGGGTCATAAGTTGATAAAAGAACCTCTTGGAGCTGTTCTGTGGTTATGCTTCCAGATTTCTGGCTTGTAGTAGTGCTGGGCTCATTGACTCCTTGAGGAATGATTGGAGCATTTGACTGCAGGCCTGTCTGGGGGGCTATCTCATGGCTCTGCTGTTGTTCAAGGTGGCTATGAGCTACATCAGCAGGTCTTTCACGACTGGTTTGTTGCTGCTCTTCTATTTTCCCTTCTGGATCTTTTCTGTTCAGTGTACTTTGCGCAGCCGTGCTGATGGCCTCAGTGGCAAAGGCTCCATGGGTAGAGATGGTGATGCGGAGATCAACAGCGAGTTCTTGGATGACAGGATCAGGGTATGTGTTGGATATCTTCTCCAACAGAGGCAGCAACTGCTTCAGAACAGCAAAATCACTTGACTTCAACTACAAAATGAAGTAAAAAATGTCAAACCCACATTAACATAGCAAATGTCAATATGACCTGAGCACCAGGAAACATATTCTGAGAAAAAGGGGCAGGGATCAAATCTTGCTCATGGTGTAATCAGTATATTGCCTGGGTCCCGCACTCAATACCATTTGTTGAATAATCATACCTAACATTTATTGAACACTTATCATATACAGGTTCTTTTTTAAGATAAAACACACACACACATTCATATCCCTGTGATATAATGACTATTATTATCTACATTTTAAACAGGTGGAAACAGAACGGTTAAGTAACATGCCCAAGGTCACAAACTGGAAGATAGTAAGATGTGAACTCAAGAAACTGGGATCAGAGCCCACACTCTTACCCAATACCCTACACAGTCTCCCTTGAAAAGATAAGGCTGTTCTTAACTACATGATCTAAAGTGGCCGGCCAGTATGCAAGTGCACCATAGATCTGGAAGGGATCAGGGAGACAATGGGAAGAAAAGGATTTCTTCTGGAAAGTAGAAGTGAAAATTACATAACATTTTATTCTCCATGGAAGTTTTGTCCAAATGATGTCATATGCCTTACTACTAAGAAAGGTGCATGGGTGTTACAGCTCATTTAGAATTTGTCTAGCAGGTTTTCTGGTCTTCACTAGAAAGCACCCCCCTCACCCACTGCCACCCAAAAGGTGTATGTGCAATCAACGAAAAGTAAGAATCAATGATAACAGTTTTCTGTTTGAAAACACTGGAGAAATTATCAGATGATGCTTCAGGAGTCCCTGAAAATGTGAATACTTTAAAGATCTTAAATCCTTTTTATTGGCCAACATGGCAAAACCCCGTCTCTACTAAAAATACAAAAATTAGCTGGGCACGGTGGTGTGCACCTGTAGTCCCAGCTACTTGGGAGGCTGAGGCAGAGAATCGCCTAAACCCAGGAGGCAGAGGTTGCAGTGAGCCGAGATCAAGCCACTGCTCTCCAGCTTGGGCAACAGAGCGAGACTCCATCTCAAAAAAAAAAAAAATCCTTTTTATTTTTATTTTTTTCTTTTCTTTTTGGAGACAGAGTCTCGCTCTGCTGCCTAGGCTGGATTGCAATGGCGCAATCTTGGCTCACTGCAACCTCTGCCTCCTGGGTTCAAGCTCGATTCTCCTGCCTCAGCCTCCTGAGTAGCTGGGATTACAGGCGCTCACTACCACGCCTGACCTTTTTTTTTTTTTTTTTTTTTTTTTT